ATTTTTTTGTTTTTAATTTTCTTTGATTTTTTAGTTACCCGTTATTCCTAGTTGAATTTTAAGCAAGATAGAATCATGAATTGTTTGAAACGAAAGCGGAAAAAATGGTGAAAAACCCGACCCCAAGGCGTGAAGAGATCGTGTGGCAGCAAACAAAGTAAGAATCATTCGAAAAAAAGAAGCAGAATTTCGAAATACACTGTTTGGACGGTGCATAAAAACTGATTTGGATCGAACAATGCAGAAAAAACAGACTTGGTTCGAACTGTACAGAAAAATTTAAACAGAACAATGCAGAAAAATTGATTTGGTTCGAACAGTGCAGAAAAATACACAGCAGATTCGAACAATGCAGTGCAAAAAATATATGCAGAAAAAAACTGATTTGGTTTAAACAGTGCCGAAAAATACAGTAGATTCAAACAATGCAATATAGAAAAACATTACATAAAAAATAGATTTGGTTCGAACTTTGCAGAAAATTCGAACAGAATAGTGCAGTGTAAAAAAATAACAGTACAATTTTGGTTCGAGAAAAAAAACATAGCAGTACAATTTTGGTTTGAGGAGAGAAAAAAGAAAAGGATAAATCTTGATTGAGTTCTATTCTTGAAGTTACTTCCTTTATAATAAAATCTTGGAATGATCTATATTTTCTTATTTTTGTTTTGCAGAAAATTTTAATATATCTTCTAGTGGCTTCTAGATCAGCCATTCTACTCTACAACAGTTCATCTCCACTAAATTGGGGAGTATTCCTTTTCCCTCTCTTTGTTTTTAAATTTGATTTACTTTTTGGGACAAAACGGATTAAGTGAGGGGGAAGGATAAACATGCCAAATTTTTCCTTGACTTGTTTGATTGTTTGAAATTGAGTTCTTCTGATATTGATGTATTGGGATCGTTGGTCGCTAGTCTTGAACTTCATTTTATACTCTTGCTTCCTTTTGGATTATGACCATGTTTTGATCGAATTTAATTTACATGATTGGTGATTGGTATAGCTGGTGAATTTTTTGTTTAATATTGATATTTCATACTTTTGTTGATAGAGATGAACTTGACTCAGTACATATAAACTTTTCTTGTGAGATTTGAGCCTAACGAGCATCATTTTCTTTCTTGCTCATTGTTTGACTTAAGTGCGCCATACTAATTGGATATTATAGAACTTGTAATCACAATGCATTTGAGATTACACGTTGAACGTAATGTTTTAATATGATAGGGGAACCTAGGATAAACCCACTTTTCCTAAAAATCCTACCCATTTACATATCCACTAGTGAACCACATTTGAGCATATTTCTGTTACTTTATTTACACCTCATAATTAAACCCGAAGCCTTTTTTTTATTTTTATTCTCTTTTCACACCCTTGCCGAGACTTGACATCTTGTATCATTCTTGTTCCACGAAAAAAAGGGAAATGAACTTTTTTCACTGTTTCGAATAAAAAACAAAGTTGTTCACTGTTTCGAACAGTAGAGAAAAAAAAGAAAAGGAAAAAAAGACCCTTCATTCGAATGAAAAAAGAAGGAAAAATCGATCGTTTCAATTGCCTTTAATCTAATCTTTTTCCTTGTTTTATCTTTCATTATGCTTCATGTTAATTCGTGGATTGTTATTAATTATTTTGATATCTTGTTTGGTATTTTAAACCTTTCTTTTTGGCCTTTTCCTTACCCTAACCTAAGCATCGTTACACCTTGTTTAATGACCCCTTGATTATTGCATTATGTTCACTTTTAGTAGTGGAGACTTGATTGGATTCCAAGCCTATGGTAATATTTTGGTTAGTTTCGATTTGAGCGATTTCATTTACCCCAAACACTTTGAGCGGATATGTGTGAATCTTTGTGAGGTATTGAGTCATGTTTCATTGAAATTGGAAATTAATTGGGATATCTTGCTTACTTTAAATTTTCTTGGTTATGTCTTTGCTTGATTGTAACTTGAATTCGGCAAATGCCATAGACTTAGTTCGATTGGAAGTCTGAGGAATAAATTGAAATTGAAGATGACAACTTATAATTTTGATATGTTAATTGAGAAATGTTTGAAGACAATCATTGAATAAGTGAGGGGGAATTTGAAAAGTGCTTTATTTAGCTATTATTTTGCTTTTAAATTGCTCCGTAAGCATTGGTTTTTATGGCTTATTTGTTCGTTTTGATTCCTTTTCTGTGCAGGACGCTAGATTATGGAAATTGCACTAAAAGGACAGAATTCTGCAGTTTGTTTTATTTTTGGAATAAAGCTGGATTAGTAGACATGACCTTGGGCATGAAATATCTGACGAGGTGATGACATCAACACCTTCTAGAAGGTTCAATCAGCGCTTCTAGAATAACGAATGGATCAGCCGCACATTTCTGCAATTTGGATTTGAATTAAACTCATGTTTTAGGATATTATTTTAAATATTATATTTTATCTTTGTTTTAGGTTTTTTTAGTTTAAATAGTTTTAAGTATTTTTAATTAGGATTTAGGATATTATTTTAAATATTATATTTTATCTTATCTCTGTTTTAGGTATTTTAGTTTAAATAGTTTTAAGTATTTTAATTAGGATTTATTTTCCTTATTTTAGGAATTATCTTTAGCTTGTTTTTAGGATTTTGAAGGCTATAAATATCCTCTCAGGATAAGCCTAGAGACATATCTCTCACATCTGAGAATTTACTCCTCTTCTTTCTCTAGGTTAATAAAATTCTCTCTATTTTCTTTCAAGTTTTTCGCATACTTCTTTATTTTATTTTAAAGTTTTGTTTTCAAATATGCTAAGTATGACTTTGGTCATGCTTAGCTAATTTTCTTTTAAGCCGAAGGCTAAAGTGGATGCTCAATTCTAAACGTGAGAATTGTAAGACACTTAAATCGCTTCGGATTTTTCTCTCTGTTTTCTGGGATTATTTTTCAAATCAAAACGCTTTTCAAAACCAAAAGTCGACGTTGGTCTGGATGTTGTTATGGTTAACGTGGGAACAAGGATCGACTTATTGAAGCACATTTGACTTCCTCTGAACACACTTAGCGAAATTGTTTGCTAAGAGGAAACTGAGATCGAAATCAGTTACTGTTGAAACAACATAATCCGAGTCGGCAGCTTTACGAACTTTAACGTTTTAAGATCTACAACATTGTTGTTGCTTAGATCAACTCACAAATCAAAATTTAAGAGTGCACTTGGATATTTGGTATACAAAGCATAGTCACAAGGAATTGTCCTTGTAGACAAGTAGTCGACATGAATCTTGAAGCAAAGATCTATTTCAATAATCCAAAGAATTTGAGGCAAAGCTGAAGTCTGAGGCTGTTCTTACCATATGTCTTCTTTATCTCAGTTTATTTTATTTATTTATTTGTTTATTTAGTTTTTATCTCATTATATCTCTTTAAACAATTTAAAAACTTCCCCTTTTTATCCTTATCTTTTTTAAAATAATGAATATTTAATTATCTATTTTATTTTATTTTTTATTCTTATTTTTTATCTTTATCTAATATTCTATCTTCTTCTAAATCAAGAAAGAGTTTCACTAAATCATAAACACCACAGTCCTGTGGATCGACACTGCTTCTCTATACTACTCCCCTTTTACTTATTAATAAGCCAAAATTATTTTGATAGCAAAACGACAGTTATCAGTGGTTCGAGTGATGCTAAGAAGGACAAATCAAAAGAGTTCCATCTTCTTTAATTCGGTCTTCCTCGATTAATTAGGGTCAATAGTACTGCATCAATCAACCCTTTTCCTTTAATTGTTGAATCGCTCAAGCTCGGTCCATCTCGAACATTATATACCCCTTGCGTAACTCATAATATAACACCCTAAACAAACACATATTAGGCCTAAGATACTATATTGAATCACCAAAACGATCATCACATTTAAAATCATTAAAACTTTCTGATCGATAGAGACATACATAAAATTTCAAATCAAAATAATTAGATATATAAGGTTGTAAAATGTTTATACAAAACTTGAGTTTCTTAGTGATATAGTATAATCAAAGTAGATTAAAATAATAATTGAATTTATAGGCTGAGATACAAATAAAATTTATATGAATACATATGTCCACTATTTTATACTCTGAATAGAAGCCCTGAAAATCATTTCGTAACGGTGATCCTCTAACACATACCCTAATTAATTAACATGTTAACGAAACCATTTAAACGTTGAGCGTTACAAGATCACCGAGAGACTTATACTAATATAATCTATTGTACTTCATACAATTCATAATTATAAACATGGAATGAAAGTATAATCAATATATAAATAAATTAATTATCATATAATATTTATTTATTTAAGCCTCCATAACAGTTCTCAAAAGGATTTTCAGACAAAGACAATATTCAATTGAAGTCATTAGAAACAACTATAGATAAATTCTCACACCTTTTTTACCAATAAATGATAATAAATTAGCTAACCCTATTACTATATGTAATGGGGTAGGGGAGGTAAGATAGTAGGATGTCCCAACGCCAGGTTGAGAACAGTTTCCGTGGGTAACAATAAATGATAATAATAAGTATAAACATTATGCTGCAAGTGGAAGATTTTTTTATACTTGTCGTGTATGGTTAGGTGCTTGCCTGACATTATATTTGTCAAGCTTCGAGTGCCAACACGTTTTTCGTATTGAGAAAACACTGGTATAAAATCCATGTTTTATACTTGTCGTGTATGGTTAGGTGCTTGCCTGACATTATATTTGTCAAGCTTCGAGTGCTAGCACGTTTTTCGTATTGAGCAAACACTGGTATAAAATCCATGTTTTATACTTGTCGTGTATGGTTAGGTGCTTGCCTGACATTATATTTGTCAAGCTTCGAGTACTAGCACGTTTTTTGTATTGAGCAAGCACTGGTATAAAATCAATGGAACTTGAACTTGATAATGCACAAAAGAGTGAGTTTTCATTAGACGTTTAAATAGCTTTCATTTATACTGTTTCATAGCAATTGTTGCGGAAATGGAAGTTCATATTACTTCAAAGCAATTGGTTAAGCCCTCCTCTTCGAAACTTCATCTTTTGGAGCCCTTCAAGCTTTCCCTTTTAGACCAACTCGCTCCAAGAAAGTATACTCCGGGAGTCTTCTTCTACGCTAAACCCAGTGATTCCGATATCGACAGTTCCCAATTCTCAGAGCAACTAAAACAATCACTCTCGAAAGCTTTGGCTCAGTTTTACCCTGCTTCTGGTCGGCTGAAGAAAAACCTTTTTATTACTGATTTCGACGAGGGAGTTCCTTATGTTGAAACCAGGGTGAAAGGACGGTTATCCGATTTCATTGGCCAAACTCAAAATATAGAGGCAATGAACCGATTGCTTCCTTGTCGACCCTTTTGCTATATTGAAGACTCAACAGCTCCCCAATTGGCTGTTCAACTCAACATCTTCGACTGTGGTGGGATTGCACTTGCTTTGTGTGCTTTCCACAAGGTCTTCGATGGAACAACTGTGTCTGCTTTCATGAACAGTTGGGCAGCTTTCAGTCGAGGCTCGAATGGCGAAATACCAAATCCTGGACTGTTAGGGGCATCGTCACGGTTTTTCCCTCCGATCGAGTCGATGCCGGACAACGCTGACGTGAAAAGCCTCTTCTTTAATGACGTCCGGCGTAAGATAACAAGGACATACGTGTTTGATGCCAATGCGATCTCGACTCTTAAGATGAAAGCGAAAGGCAAAAGCTTGGAGCATCCTTCCCGTGTATTAGCTCTCAGTGCATTCCTATGGAAACATGGCATCCAGGCATCTCGATCAGTGTCTGCAACTCTAAAACCAGCTATTTTATGCCAACCAGTAAACATTCGACCCAGATTGAAGCCCCAATTACCTATTTATTCAATTGGTAATCTGTATTCGATGGCAATTAGCATGTATAGCCCAGTTGGGGAAGATATAGACTTGTCTGAGTTGGGTGTTCTAGTGAGAGAAGCAACGCAAAGTGCCCCTAATGATCCCCAAGTTGTTCTACAAGGGTTTAAAACTATGACTGACGGACTCAGCCATCTTGCAGAAATGGTGTCAAAAGGAGATGCAGATTTTTTCATTTTAAGCAGCTTGTTGAATACTTTGGATGCAGATGAAGATTTTGGGTGGGGAAAGCCCACTCTCATTAGCACTCCAGCGGTTGATAGCCGTAATCGGGAGCTGCGCAATTGGTTCTATCTGAAAAAAGCCAAGCAGCACAAAGCCATTGAAGTATGGATTACTCTGTCAGACAAAGAGATGGATTTTCTTGAACATGACCCAGAGTTCCTGGCATTTACCTCTCCAAAATCTTGCTTTGATAAAAGTAAGATCTAAACATAAACACAAAGAAAGGGTATCTCCCAAATTTAAAAACATTGGTTCCAGTGCTAAGTTTCTTAGTTTTAAAACTATTGTGTTAATAATCAAAACTATCAAGTTTTGAAATTTGTTTCTATTTGTTGATGTCTTGTACAATCTGCCTCGCTAGAGGCTACTATAAGTTTGATTCAAATAATTGATGGCTTCAGTTTTGTATACAAATAAAAGTAAATAGGTTACATCCACTTATTACTAAATACAACTATTTCTATGTTTTCAGAAATATCTTTAATTTGCTCATGTATGATACAATTATATATCCTTAAAAAGTATCGAAAGCAGATGTAGCTAATCACTTCTAAAGATGCCAGGTGTTAACAATCAGACGACTCGAAACAATCAAGCAACTCAGGCAAGAGACTTCGAGAGGAATCTGTTTCATGTTAATTGTGTTTAATCTGTTAGAAATAATACTGCTGCAACAAGACAAAACCATTAGCATTGAATAACAAATAATAATCAAATAGAAAGACAAATAAAACGATTTATTGTGTCGTGCTATGGAAACCACTGCCTTAAAAGCAGTTTCGCCTATATTGGTGTAATCTCGAAATGGACGTTGCCCCCAAGGTTAACACAGTCTTCCAGACCTCTTACACCCAAAGTGAGGAAGTGGAACCACTTGTGTTGCACTATTCAATAAAAAACTTTCGAGGGAAAAAATAATAAAACTATTAGTTTATGTGTTCTAATTAGGGAGAGGGCTTTCTCTTTTATAGAAACAGTAGATGGGTAAAGTTGTAAAGTGAAAACAACCTACTCCAACTACACACTAAAAACAGGTAACATCATGCCTAAGAAATCTCTCCACTATTTGCATTACCAACAATCCATCACTTATGAAAATATGTAGGGAATTTTGAATACGAAAAGAGCAACAACAAAATTAATCGCTTAAGTACTAGCGAACATATCTATAACTAATACATAGTGGAATTATCAATTCTTCTCTTAACAAGTGAACGAATCTGGAACTTGTTAAAAAAAGTGTAAACCCACAACACACAACTAACTTCTTCACCAAGTCACTTCTGCGATATATCATCAATTTTGACCGAATACACCTCACTATGCTGGTAAGTGCTCTAGAAAGAACGCTCAAAAGTCTTTCATAGAAGGTGGTTAATCCTTTACACTTACGTATGTGATTTTATCAAGTCCATTTCAATATAGACCACCCAAATTAGGGATATTAAATCATTAAGAGCAATTAGAAAACTCAACATCTCATTTTTTTATGATTCGATGAATTCATTTAGTCCGTCTCACAAAGTAACCTCCCTTTTACCCAACCTAGATGAAACAGGCCGAAGCCAGAAGGCCCATTGACTAAATCCTCAAAAGCTTACCCAAACATTGTTTTAAATACATTAAAATTTACCCTCACATTTATTGAATTTAAACACCGAAATAAACCGACAACATTAATTAAAATGAAAATCAAATGTTTATCAAAATCCGAGTTCAAGTCCAAAATCCAAAACATAATTTATGTCCAATGTTCCAAACATTTAAAAATATTAAACGTTATAAAATAAAATAAAATAAAACAAGAAATAGAAAATCCGAATAAAATGTCATATTATGAAAATAGTGGAATCATAATAATGTCGTAACTCCATATATCAGTTCACCTAACTCGAGAATTTGAAAGAAAGAAACTATGTGGGAGTAAGCTATGAAGCTTAGTGTGTCTCTAAAGTGCAAACAAACAAACAACTTTAATATAAAATTATTGCATTTTTGGGTGTACTAAATTTGATACACAAATATGTGCAAGTATACACAATCGAACAAGTAATAAAGTGATTAATGTGTATCATCTCCACAGGGATTGGAGGAAAATTAAGTAAAGTTTAAGCACTAAAAATATAAACAACTAAATGTAAAGTGGTATAAACAATTGTCTGTGATTGTTGTGACAAGAATTAAAGTAAGAAATGTTATGGAAAAATTGTGTGTTGAGAATTTAGAGTACAAAATAAGACAACGAAACACCTCACACGTGTGAAACTCTCAAGATGGATAAACAAATTGGTCTATCTTGGAATCCTATATTTTATCCTAAGTGAATGATTAACATTTTCCAATTAATACGATGCTCGCCATAGTTTTTAAGTTGTTTCTAGACTATCTCTTGTAAGAAACCTGACAGTGAAAATGCTACAAGAATACCTCTCAGCATGAACCCTAGTAAGTTATTATCGATTAAGCCATACTCCTTTTAGACATTAAAACCCTTTCCTTATCTCTAAGGTGAGTTAAAGTTTTGCCTCCCAACTCAATCCTACTATTCACATAGATCTAAGCTTAACTCTCTCGATATCAAGCATAAAGCGTAGATAAGAGTCATCTCTTAAAAGCTCTCACAAGTCTAAGCAGTGAAACAGTGAACAAAACACGTATATAAACTAGAAATGCTGCAACATTAATTAAAACACAAAACAAATTCATCCAAGATAAACCCAACCCAACTTAAGTTAGTTAATGGCTGGGTAATTAACATCCATAATCATCTATTTAATACAACTCATATCCATCAAAAGATAAATAAAATAGACAAAAACTAAATAAGGAAGAAAACTCCCAAGCTAAGAGTCGTTGTGGATTGCCATAAACCACCCAAGCGTCCCTGCTTCTCTCAAAGGCTAACAAGCTTTATACCCTTAGAGTTCCAGCAGTGAATGTCACTAGGATGAAGAAGAGAAGAAGGAAGAGTGGTTGTCTCTCTCTTTTTCTCTCTTATCTAATAAAACCCAAACGCTCCTCCATAAATGTGGTGTCCGTTGCTTTATATAGTAGGGACTCATAGGGTTTAGTGCCCTAATTCCTTTTGTACTCTAAGGGAATATTCTCTTCACATGTGTGTGATGGATAGCTGGTAGAGGGCATTCATGTGTGACAACTAGAAGAAACAATAAAATATCTCCAGATTTTTGTCATTTTTGCGCCCATAAATGTTACAACAATTTTCGCCCAGGATTGCTATCCAGAATGTTGTGCCATTTTCCAATTCACATCCAGTTTTCGTCACCTACACAAATCACCACCAAAACACTATATGTATCCCATCAATGCATCATTTATAAGATAATATAAGACCAACAAACAAACTACACAACAAGTATGTTAAATGCAACTAAATGAGATTAAATGCATTGAAATGAGCTTTTAAACAATCAATAACCTAAGTAAAAAGGCACAAACTTTAGCCTTTTTACGGGGTTATCACACCCCACAAACTTAAGCTATTTCTTTTCATCAAGAAATGGATAGTAATCAACCAAAGAAATACTATGGAAAAGTTTAGTCCAAGGAAATTATAAGGTATAAAATTCAGCCCTAAAAATAATTGGCTTTAACATGCAAGACTAGTTAAGAATTCAAGAACTTTTCCCTATAACAAGATCCTTTGCATGTGTGTGTGCATGATTGCATCTGGTCTATGCTTAACAAACTTAGAAAATTTCTAGGTAAGTCCCCTATTCTGATTTAGCACTTCTTTAACCATTAAGCATACAATTACTCCCATTTTCTTAAGTTAACATAAATTAATTTTTTTCTTTTCTTTTGTACTGATACCAGGGGAATCAACCTATCAACACTACCATTCCACACTCTTGATAAACTGGAGTAAACATTCCATCCCCGAACTAGTCAGATGGAGTCATCCCGTGACTACTTTCATTCACTCCTATGCTGTAGCTGCCATTTATTAAAACGCAGTATCCAGGCACTGCTATAGCAAAGAGGAGTGTCATCTACAATTATTCCAAAGCATTTATTTGCAATTCAACACATTTACTCAACATAGGGGAGTCTAATTAGCCTTTCAAGCTATCAATTATTAATTAAGTTCATTAATCATCAAGTTATGCTGCAACATGCAAGAGTTCTTTCATATAATATTTCTAAAATCCTTAAGCATAGAAAACATACAATCGTGTATCAATGAATCACAACGAATCAAGTCCTTGAGTTGGTTATATCAATATCGACAATCATGTACATTAAATCAGTCACAACCATAAAAAAATTCTATCATCATTAGGCATCATCAAATTATTCCTAAAAATGTCTTTACAGAAAATATATGCCATAGAAAAATTCTATTAATAACTATCAATGCAAATGCCTAACTACGAACATTATAAATTCTGTTAATAAAAAATCTATTGGAACTAGACGTACCTCATTGTGTTGATGGTGGGGCTTCGTTCCTCGTATGTCTGGTGTTTTCTCTTTGGAGTCAAGTTGGCTTGGTCGTGTTCTCGGGCGGTACGTGGTGTATCTTTCTCAGACTCCTCCGGTGCTAGCATTAAATGGGTCTTCTTCCTGAGTTGGTTCGACATTCATAGAGCTTTACCCTTTTCTACATGTTTGTGAGTCTATTTACAAATAATCCTGAATTGATATGGCCATTTTTTCTCATTCGATTGGAGCACCAATATATACCAAAATGCCCCACACATATAACAGTTCCACACTCAGTGTATTTTTCTTGGGCATTTCGTGCCTTCCACAACTGTTCGTCATCCCATGGCATCCATCACAAGATTTATAGAAATTTTGGGTGTCCTTGAAGAGTGTAAGCCTATAAAACTCAGATTGCATGACCCTAAATCAATCCTTTCTCCTCTAAAATTCTCTCCACATGAAGCTGAATGGTAGCAAACAACTTGCATGGACTTGTTATTTCCCTGGCTATTCAAATAAGGAGAAAAAATACCACTAACAAGAGAATTAACAATGTACTACAACAAATTTGTTTATTTATGGCATTTGAAATACCTTCATTGAAACTTACATTTATATTACTGTTTATATCTTGTGACTTAAAATTTGATGTCACGATGAACATCACGCTAGGTGTGCCACTAAATGTCAAATATGACGATGTATATATTTTCTTCACGTATTATTAAATACATAGTGATGTTAATGTATTTAGTCAC